AATAAGAAAAAAAAAAAAAAAAAGAGAGAGAAGAACGTAAGGAATGTAGAGTAGATAGATAAGGAGTGCGATAAATGTCGTAGAAAGCCCATCGAGAGGCGCACGTGTGAAAAGCAAGAGTGATTGCGGCAGAGTGGCGGTGGGGAGTGAGAAGGTAAGGAGGAGACTGAGGAGGCGAAGCAGGTAAATAAAGAAAAAAAGATGTATACACTCGTACGCGAGCGCGCGTAGATACACGGGCGCATGCATATATGCAGGTGCGCGCGTGCGTGTGCGTACGCATGCACACGATGAGCCACCTACAGCTCAAGAGAGCAGTACAGTGCGGCGACGGCGACGGCGACGGCTGCGGCGGGGCGGGGGGGGGGGGGGGGGGGGGCGGCTTTTCTTTTTCGTTTTTTTTTTCTTTTTGTCGCGGATATGAAGGGGACGAGTGATGTTGGTGGTGGTGGTGGTGGTAGTGGTGGTTGGTGGTTATCACCCGCATTAATTGCCGAGGAATACGACCAAGGCAGATACCGTACGGCGGTATCATCTCGCGTGAAATAAAGCGGATCTCGGCGCGCGAGCGATCGTGAGGGAAAAACCCGGAGGAGGCAGCTTGAATCGGGACGTCGCCGCGAGCGCACAAGTGTCTGCCAGCAGCAGAAAGCGCATTCAAAACGGTGCTGCCGCGGTTTAGTGAGTCGCGTGTTGCGCATGCGCGGCACTTTACGACCAATCGGCGCGCACCGCTGACGCCAACTCGGACCAATCGCCGCTTCGGGTCGTGACGCCACTTCTATTCTTAGCTCCGTCGTGAGTCACGAGATATAAGGCAGTACGGTTTAGTCCGTCGCAGGCAGAAAGAGTGGAGAGTTTGCGTCGTGCGCACCGCCGTGTGTTGAAAACGCAGTGAAAAGCGAGATCGCGAAGGCAAGAGGTGGTGGCGGCGGTGGAGGAGGTGGTGGAGGAGGCGGCGGCAGTGGCACTCGGTCGGTCGGTCGGTCGGTCGGTCGGTCGGTCGGTCGGTCGGTCGATCAGTCGGTCGATCAGTCGGTCGGTCGATCGGTTAGTTTAAAGGGCCTTGCGAGTAGTTCGTCGATCGAATAGCCCAGGGCCCCGAGTGTGTCCGGACTTGGGCAGAGAAGAAGGTCGCTCCACGATAATCCCCTCGGGTGCTGCTGTTGATGCGCCCGTTTCGGGGAGCGCGCAGCACGGCTAAGCTCGTAAAGCCGCGTGTTATGTAAGAGTCGGAGTGCGGGAAAGAGCCGTGGACTGGGAAGGCGCGAGCCGCCGATGGTGCGCAACTCTACCATGGAGCCGACGTTCTACGAGGAGCAGGTGGGCTCGATGTACGGGCCCGCGGCGAGTCGCATCGCCGGCCCCGCCCTCGGCAGCGCCAAGCGCGCCAATCTCAACCTAAGCCTCGATCTGAACGGCCGCCAAGGTGGCGGGCAGTGCGTGAAGAGGCCGCGACTGGGTCCGCTTCCGGGCTCCGGGCTCAACGGAATAGCGCCCATCCTTGCCTCACCGGACCTTCTCAAGCTCGGCTCGCCCGAGTTCGAGAAGCTCTTGATCGCCCAGCAGGACGGCCTCATTACCACCATGCCCACGCCCACCTCGCAAATATACTTCGAGAAGGCGGTTACGGAGGAGCAGGAGCAGTACGCCCGGGGCTTCGTCGACGCACTCAACGAGCTCCACCACTCGGACAGTTCGCAGGAGCCGGGCAGCGTGCACGGCGCGACGTATACGACCCTGGAGCCCGCGGGCGGGGCCCTCGGCCAGGCGCTCGGACTCGTTCAGGTGAAAGACGAGCCGCAGACGGTGCCGAGCGTGTCTAGTTCGCCCCCCATGTCGCCCATCGACATGGAGTCCCAGGAACGGATCAAGCTCGAGCGTAAGCGTCAGCGAAACCGCGTCGCCGCCTCCAAGTGCCGCAGACGCAAGCTCGAGCGCATATCCAGGCTCGAGGACAAGGTCAAATTGCTCAAAGGCGAGAACAGCGACCTGAGCCAGGTTGTCAACAGGCTAAGGGAGCACGTGAGCAGGCTTAAGGAGCAGGTCATCGACCACATGCACTCGGGCTGTCAAATTGCCCCTGTGCCCGGAATATTCTGAAAAGGTTCGCCGCCGCCGCCGCCGCCACCGCCCTACGTCCCACCCGACCGATGGCCACTGTGTGCTCCTCCGCTCGTCCCACTCGTATGCTTTTCCCTCGGTCGACTTATTCCTCGTCGCATCCTCATCCTCATCCTCTTCATCTGCTCCTTTACTCCTTCTCCCCCCACCCTCCATCCCCCTCCTCACCCTCTCCTCGCACACATACACACTATGTCTCTCTTAACTCTTCTCTTCTCATTCTTCACGTGTCGGGAGTTGTGCGAGAGGCGGTGGCCGCTCTCCCAATTTATTGTTCCATTGACGATGTACAACTGTGTGAAGTGATCTGCGGAGGGACCGAGAGATCGTGCCGCCCACGCCATTTTGGAGAACGAGGCTACCGCGGGAAATTCGAATTTCTCTGCAACGCCCCTCGCTTTGTATATTTATATAAATATTGTATATTCGGGGGATGGGTGATTGGCGAGTCGCCCGTCCGCACTAGAGTGCTCTTAATCAAGTGTACGCGTTAACTTTGCAAGGAAATGTCGGTTCTCAGACTTCGCTTTCATTTCACTTTTAATGTCACTTTTATTCGGCAACGCATCACACCTAAACCTCTCCCCCGTCCTCATCCAATTCCAACTCCTCCACCTCCTCCTCCTCCTCCTTTTCTCAACAATCTTTCCCATCGCCGTCCCTTCCCCTGATCTTAATTTTATCAAGCACTCATTTTTCCACGGTCCGCGCACGTGCATCTAGTCCTGAGGTTTATGTGTCGTGCACGACTTACTTTTTCATCATCCAGAGATGCACGCGAACGAGGTCGGCCCAAGTACTCGGGGAAAAGAGGAGATGTTAAGGCACTAGAATTTCACTTGTAAGCCGCTCATGTATTAGTTTTCTTTTATGTCATTTTATGTTTTTTTTTTTATTTATTTTTTATTATTATTATTTTTTTTAATTATTTTATTAAATCACCTCTCCCATCAGTGTCGTTTACTTCGAGAATCTCGTTATTACTTAACAGAAATCAGCTTTGACAGTTGCTTCGTTGAATCATGAGTATTGTGTGAAAAAAAAAGAAACTGGCAATTACATTATTGTTTTTCGCGCGAGGTGTAATCCGATCAAGAACACGAGATACCAATTGAGTGACTTTTTCGAGAACACCAATTACATGGTGCAGCAAATATAATATAAACATATAAGTGATTATATATATATATGTGTGTGTGTGTGTGTGTGTGTGTGTGTGTGTACGAGTGCTTGGGTGGACGTGCGAGTGTCTGCGTGTGCGTGCGCGTACGGATCCGTGTCTACGAGTATGTACATCATTGTTGCAATAAAAGTAACCCTACGTAATATATACCGCAGGGAGAGATAATGTGAGATTATAAATTAAACGAGAAAAAGTCACTCGAACCGAATCCCTCGGCAAAATTTTTGCAAATTACGCACGTGGCCGTAACGTCCCCGAAACCGCTGTGCTTTGCACGAGCCTCGAATGTCCGGTCATTAGACGAGTCTTCGAAGAGATGAACCCTAGTTTTTAAACATTACCTAAAGAATTACGTTTATTAAGTGTAAGAAAGACAGTTTTCTCTTTTTATATGTATCAAGTCTATGAAACAAAAAAACAAAAACAAAAAAAAAAACAACAAAAAAAGCGCGCAATCGCCATTATTTCGCCTTAATCGATCGCAATTGACCTTTCATTTCCCTTCGTAGGCCGAGGCAACCGCACTACGAACAATCCGATATTTACCGCCTCCACAGATTGATTTTGTAAAATTTTTGCAACTCTTGTATAAATCGTAAATAAATGACTCCTCGCAAAGCTTCACATTTGCGTAAAGCGTCGAGGTTGATATTGCCGACGGCCGCAGATAAATAACGAGCCTAATAGTGTAAGGAGAACGTTCTTTCTGTTTTTTGTAAAGTTAAAAAAAAAAAGACAATTAATAATTCATTTTAAAAAGAAAGTCTATATATACGCGTGCTTTATTGGACTTTCTGGGCAAGCAATTCACTGCACAGTGTGCCTTTTTAAGAAATTTCCGAACGAAGAGTCGCCGCGACGGTTCAGTGCCGGCATTATCGCGACGACTCGCGAATCGTTTACCACCACCACTACCACCACCCCCCTCCCTCCCGCTCCCCCGCCCCAAACCGCTCCTCGCAACTTTCTTTTGCATTCGCGATAAATGAGATATCGATAATCAAATGATGTGCAAATTGAAATGCTTCTAATATAATAATCTCCCCGTCGTTTATTTTGTAAAGCTGTGTAAAAAGTTATGATGAATATTGTATTGTATGCGCCCTATTCTTATTTTTCTATAACACCAAACTGTTACGCGTCGCTTATATCGAGACAAAGCATGATGATGATGAGACGACGATAATGATGATTGTGAGAATAGAAAAGAAAAAACAGAAAAAATAATTAAATTTGTATATGAAAGACAAGTTGCGGGCTTACTACCGACGAAGCATTATGTAATGGCCGCAGAGAAATAATATTTTTATGAGAAATTGAACGAGCATATGAAAGAACGCGAAATTCTTCACGCGCATGTAAATTTATTTTGTATTAAAGAGCGACAGAAGCGGCTGCACAAACGTATGAAAGTAAATGAAACAACATGTGATTTAGTATTTAAGTAAAAATAAACCCCATTAGAATACATATGTATGCGTATACACATGCACATACGTATACGCATATATATTATTCAACATTTTTTAGCGATACTGCGAGATCACAAATGATGGCACAATAAACAAACACGCATACGGACGGATACACGCGCGCGCGCGCACACACACACACACACACACACACACACACACAAAATACTGTTGCGTTAATACATAATAAAGCACGAGCGACGCATAAAAATAATTGCTTGAGAGAGCAAAAAGTACAAGAATGCCAATTGCAATTTCGATGATCGTGCGTTATTATGTATTTACATAGGAGTATTAACTTGCATACATAATAAGACACACGCGCGCACACATCTATATATGCATATGTATATGTATATATGCATGTATGTATGTATGTATGTATGTATGTATGTATGTATGTATGTATGTATGTATGTATGTATGTATGTATGTATGTATGTATGTATGTATGTATGTATGTATGTATGTATGTATGTATGTATGTATGTATGTATGTATGTATGTATGTATGTATGTATGTATGTATGTATGTATGTATGTATGTATGTATGTATGTATGTATGTATGTATGTATGTATGTATGTATGTATGTATGTATGTATGTATGTATGTATGTATGTATGTATGTATGTATGTATGTATGTATGTATGTATGTATGTATGTATGTATGTATGTATGTATGTATGTATGTATGTATGTATGTATGTATGTATGTATGTATGTATGTATGTATGTATGTATGTATGTATGTATGTATGTATGTATGTATGTATGTATGTATGTATGTATGTATGTATGTATGTATGTATGTATGTATGTATGTATGTATGTATGTATGTATGTATGTATGTATGTATGTATGTATGTATGTATGTATGTATGTATGTATGTATGTATGTATGTATGTATGTATGTATGTATGTATGTATGTATGTATGTATGTATGTATGTATGTATGTATGTATGTATGTATGTATGTATGTATGTATGTATGTATGTATGTATGTATGTATGTATGTATGTATGTATGTATGTATGTATGTATGTATGTATGTATGTATGTATGTATGTATGTATGTATGTATGTATGTATGTATGTATGTATGTATGTATGTATGTATGTATGTATGTATGTATGTATGTATGTATGTATGTATGTATGTATGTATGTATGTATGTATG